GGGGGATGAATGAACGTGTTGGATTTCAAAGGTTTAGTCTGGGGTGTTTTCCAGTGGAGCAGGAGGATAAATGTCTTGGTTTGAACAGGTTTCCAGTGGATTCTTTTCCAGTGAAGCAGGAGAACAAACCTGTTGGATTTCACAGGTTTCCAGTGAGTTGTTCTTCACTGGAGAAGGAGAATAAATCTGTTGGATTTCACAGGTTTCCTCTGGGCTGTTTTTTCAGTGGAGCAGGAGATTAAACTGGTTGGATTTCACAGGTTTTCGGTGGATTGTTTCTCGGTGGAGCGGGAGAATAAATGTCTTGATTTTTAACAGATTTCCAGTGGGCTGTTTTGTAGTGGAGCAGGAAAACAAGTTTCATGGATTTAAGAGGTTTTCAGTGGATTGTTCTTCACTGGAGGAGGAGAATAAATCTGTTGGACTTCACAGGTTTTCAGTGAGTTGTTCTTCACTGGAGGAGGAGGATAAATGTCTTGGTTTGAACAGGTTTCCAGTGGATTCTTTTCCAGTGAAGCAGGAGAACAAACCTGTTGGATTTCACAGGTTTCCAGTGAGTTGTTCTTCACTGGAGCAGGAGAACAAACCTGTTGGATTTCACAGGTTTCCAGTGGGTTGTTCCTCACTGGAGCAGGAGAATACATGAACCCTTTGGATTTAGCAGGTTTCCCATGGATTGTTGGAGTTTAGGGATGTGACCAAGGGGTCAGGAGATGCCTTGTGAGGCTGTGCAGGGAGCTCGGAGCAAAGGAGAAATGTCTTGGGAAGGTTTTAGAGATCCCAGAGCAATTCTGGGGTTGTTTTCATGAGGAGAGTGAAACAAAGAGGAGAAAAAAGGTTTATTTAGTTGATGTGACATGTTCTCCCACGCTTTACCTGCAGGACTCTCCCCTGAAGGCCGTGCTCAGGGCAAAGGAGGAACGTTTGGGAATGTTTTAGGAAGGTGTTAATGATTCCAGACCAATTCTGGAGCTGTTCTCATGAGGAGAACGGAACAAAGAAGGGAGGAAGGGTTGATTTTGGTGGCTTGGTGTGTTCTTCCCCTGCAGGACTCTCCCCTGAAGGCCATGCAGGGAGCTCAGGGCAAAGGAGAAATGTCTTGGGAATGTTTTAGGAAGGTGTTAATGATTCCAGACCAATTCTGGAGCTGTTCTCATGAGGAGAATGAAAGAAAGAAGGGAAGAAAAGTTGATTTTGGTGGCTTGGTGTGTTCTCCCCCTGCAAGAAGGGAAGAAAAGTTGATTTTGGTGGCTTGGTGTGTTCTCCCCCTGCAGGACTCTCCCCTGAAGGCCGTGCAGATGCTGTGGGTGAACCTGATCATGGACACCTTCGCCTCGCTGGCGCTGGCCACGGAGCCGCCGTCGGAGTCGCTGCTGCTGCGCAAACCCTACGGCCGCAACAAGCCGCTCATCTCCCGCACCATGATGAAGAACATCCTGGGCCACGCCGTCTACCAGCTCACCATCATCTTCACCCTGCTCTTCGCCGGTGAGCACACGGCCCCGGAGGGTGCTGGGGGCAAGGGGAGAAGGGGGAAATAAAGGAGAAGGGAAAAATGGGAAAGGGAAGGGAGAGGAGGAAAGGAAAAGGAGTAAAAGGAAGGAGAGAAGGAAGGAAAGGAAAAGGGAAGGGAAATGAGAAAAGGGAAAGGAGTAAGGGAAGGAGAAAAGGAAAGGAGAGAAGGTAAAAAAAGGAGAAGGAAGAAAAGGAAAAGGAAAAGGAAACGGAGGAAAGGAAAAGGAGAAAAGGAAAGAAGAGAAGGAAAAAAAGGAGAAGGAAGAAAAGGGAAAGGGAAGGGAAAGGAGAAAAGGAAGGGGAGAAAAGGGAAAGGAGAAAAAGGAAGGGAAAGGAGAAAAGGAAAAGGAGAAAAGGAAAAAAAAGAGAAGGAAAAGGAGAAAAGGGAAAGGAGAAAAGGGAAAAAAAGGAGAAGGAAAAAGAGAAAGGAGAAAAAAGAAGGGAAAGGAGAAAAGGGAAAAAAGAAGGAAGAGGAAAGGGAAAGGAGAAAAGAAAAAGGAGAAAAGGAGAAGGGAAGGGGCAGATATTTCCTTCCCCAAACCCCCTTTTTCCTGCGCAGGGGAGAAGTTTTTCGACATCGACAGCGGCCGGAACGCTCCCCTGCACTCTCCCCCCACCGAGCACTACACCATCGTCTTCAACACCTTCGTGATGATGCAGCTCTTCAACGAGATCAACGCCCGCAAGATCCACGGCGAGAGGAACGTCTTCGAGGGCATCTACCGCAACCCCATCTTCTGCGCCGTGGTGCTGGGCACCTTCACCGCCCAGGTGAGGCCGCGGGGCTGCCGGGGGCTGTGTCACACCCAGGCTCAGCTCTGTCCCCCTGCAGCGTCTTGGTGGCACAGGAACCACCCTGGATGTGCTCAAGGCTGGGCTGGGTGGAGATCAGAGCGACCTGAGCTGGTGGGAGGTGTCCCAGCGCGTGGATCTGGGTGGGGTTTAAATCCCTTCCAGCCCAAAACATCCTGGGATTCCATGAATTGGGGTCTAGAGCGTGTTGGGAGGTGAATCTGGTGTTTCATGGAGTTCCTGGACTGGGGGTGAAGTCCCTGCTCTTTTCTGGTGTTCCTCAGAATTTGCAATGTGGATATGAGGTCATTGCTCCTAAAATTCCCAGCCTGGATGTGAGGTTCCTCCTCCTTTCTGGTGTTCCTCAAAATTCCCAGCCTGGATGTGAGGTCCCTGCTCCTTTCTGATTTCCCATAAATTTTCCAGTCTGGATGAGAAGTCTTTGCACCTCTCTGGTGTTCCAGAAAATTCCCAGCCTGGAACTGAGGGCCTTGCTCCTGCTGTAATCACAGGAAAGAGGGAAAAGTGTGGTCCAAGGGGACCTTTCCATGCCCTCGGAGCTGCCCAGGGTGTGACTCTTGTCTCCTGTGCCGCAGATCATCATCGTGGAGTTTGGTGGGAAGCCCTTCAGCTGCTCCGGGCTCACCCTGAGCCAGTGGTTCTGGTGCATTTTCATTGGAGTGGGAGAGCTCCTGTGGGGCCAGGTAAGGGCCAACCCCAAAATCCTGCCCCGTTCCCCTTGGTTTTCCTCCAGGACAGCTCCTTAGGAAAAAGAGAAAAGGAAAAAAAGAAAAGGGAAAGGAGAAAAAAGAAGGGAAAGGAGAAAAGGGAAAAAAGAAGGAGGAGGAAAGGGAAAGGAGAAAATAAAAAGGAGAGAAGGAAAAGGAAAGGGGCAGATATTTAGGAGGGGGCTGATGTCCCACCCCACCCCAGCAGCAGGAGAGGAGGTTGCTCAGCCCCACCCTGCTGCAGGTGTGACACACCCAGATGTGACAGTGACATCCGCCGCTGGCTCCCGCCACCTCCCTGGGGCTGGTGGCACTGCCACGACCTCAGTCTAACCATCAGTATTAGATTACATAAAAAATTATACATGAGAACCTAAATTATAAATTATATAAAATATAATGCATAT